TTTAAAAGATAAAGTGATATATGTGCATGTGTATTTATCAAGGTTGTGAAAATCGGACCGGACAAGGAACTGGAAGAATGAGAGATTCAAGGTTCGACTGGTCGAATCGGGGTCGAACCCATGGGCGGAGGGAGGGGGGGCACGTGCCCCCTCCTAAAAAAATTGAATTTTTTTTTTTAATCTCAATTCAAAATTAAGTTGGTAACTTCAAAAATTAATTCGTAAACCATATGAACTCCGATTTCAATAAACTTACAGTCGAACTGAACGTCTCAAAAACACAAACCTAACGACACCAAATTCAACTCAATCCGAACCCAAATGACTCCAAATCAAAGACCCGAAGCATATTTGGAAGGTTCAAACCATAACTTGGATTACCAAATGGTTTCCAAACATAACATGCTTATAGTCGAATCGAGCGGCTAGACAAGACGAATCCAACGAGCCCAAGATCGCCAAATTTTGACTAAGACATTTAAATGCCCAATAAACAGTCCACGATCAAGAAATTTAACATCGGTCATCCATTCAAATCACTACCAATTTAATTTCCTTTTCATTTACATTTTTTTTCTTGATTGATATTAGCTTAATCCTATATTGATTCGATCTTAAAGAGATTTTATGATTTTTTTTTTTGAAATGAGATTTTTGATATCACGTATTTAGTTAATATATTTAATATCACGTATTTAGTTAATATATTAAAAATGTTAATAGCAAAAATCGAATATTGATGATCAAAGTCAATTTTGTGAAGGAAAACAAATAAACTAATTCACTAACAAGTTTTATCATTTTAATATTGATTATATTGGTCCCTAAGTTGTGGATGTAAAAATTGAAGAAAAATAATAATATAATAAAAAAAAATTTTAGGCCCCCCTTAGAGATATTTAATGGCTCCGCCACTGGTCGAGCCGGATGATGTAATAAATAATAGCATTATTAAAAATAATAACATTATATGATAATTACGAGAATGTAATCTCAAATCATATAATTTTAAATAATTTAAATTAATAATATTTAATAGATTATATCCTCATATGAATAAATTAAATTGAAATGATAAAGTATATAATATAATTAACTTAGAAACAATATAATTTATTTAATATTAAATTTTATGAATATCTATAATTTAAATTATAATAATTTTTACATTTTAATTATAATTATAAATAAATGAGATTCTTATATATATCATTATAACAAATTAAAAATTTAAATATAAAATTTAAATATAAAATATAAATTTATATTATAATTCATATAATATACATTATAAAAAATTTATAAATATATAATTTATAATACAAATTAAAAAAAACTTTGCACCCAACTCAAATTCATGGCCCAACTAGCCAAATTTATGGCTCAACCAATCAAAATTAATGACCTAATAAAGCTCAAACTCACATCAATGCTCAATTATAGCATTCATGTAACTTTTTTTTTAGTCTCACACCATGAAGGAGTATGATATGATTTCCTTTTAGCTCTTTATATAGTTCCTCTTTTCAACAAAACTTATTTTATTAGATAAAAATTCATAATATTATGGTACTAAAAATCTCATTATTTAATAAAAATTTTCATATTTAAAAAATGTAATGAAGTAAAATATTTTTTATTTATATTTTATTTAAAACAAAAAAAAATTAAACTATCCGGTCTTTTGAACCCGGACCGGTTCTTCCGGTTGAACTGTCGGTTCTGTCAGGTTTCAGACCGGTTCTCTACAAAGCCGATTATTGAATTGGACCGGATCGGATAACTGGCCGGTTCACGTTTAAATCAGTTGAACCGGCCGGTCCGATCGTTTTTTTAAAACCTGGGTATTTATAATAATTCTAATCAGTGGGCTATGATATTAGTAATTTAGCAGTTTCGGTCGCGGTTTGCTTATCTGGCCCTCTTTTATTCTTTTTTAATGTGAAATCATTTCATCACAGTGTTGGTTCATTAGGGTGCTCTCCATAGGTGTTTTTTTGTAAAACACGTAAAAGTTTTTGATTAGGCTGAAAAAATTTCTGTTGAATCTATCGCTATTCCTCCAGGCTCAGCTATCATGATGATGAACTTTTATTGGTCCGGTTGTAAGAACGTAGAGGAACGTCCGGTCGGAGGTAAAATCCCGCTAAAAAAACTCAATATTTGCTCGGTATTGCTAGGTATTATTTGATAATAACGAGGAATACCGCTCTGTGAGACCAATACCAAGTTATAAACCGAGCTATATACCGAGTGTTACCGAGTTTTTTCTAGGAAAAACTCGGTTACAACTTTATATAACTCGGTATTGCTCGGTATAGCTCGGTAATAACTCGGTATTGGGGTCTTCACATGATTGTATTCCTCGTTATTGTTTTGGTATTGCTCGGTATTTGCTCGGTATTTTCGTTTTTTGGCGCGATTTGGCCTCAACCGACGTTCCTCTACATCCGGTCCGGAGAACGTAATAATTGTTCCATGATGACACTCGGATTTTGCATTTTTTTTTTAATCGCTTCTTATTTTTACCTTACACTTCAATTCTAATTTGTCAATTATTAAATATGAGCTTGTTTATATGTAAATATGCAATGAATCGTGTTTTAAACAAAATAAAAGAGTGAAACCGGAGGATAGAAATCCCATGTTTTTAAAAACGGATTACAAAATTCTATTTTCTAGAAACAGATTTTGTAATCTGATTTATTAAGAAAATTAAAACAGGATATATATAATTATAATCCGTTTCTTAAAGAAACCATTTTTCCATGAATACTTTAAATGACTTTAAACTTTATATAAAACATTTTAGGTTATAATCCAAATTAAAAAATAATAAAAAAAATAATTTAGATTATAGTCTTTAAACTTTATGTTTAAATTTTTAATAAAATTTTTATTTAAAATTTTTTTAGATTATAATATTTTAAATTATTTTAAAATGATTTATAATTTTAAAGAGTATAATACTAAATTCTGTTTAATAAAAAATTATATTAAAATTTTTAGATTATAATATTAGAATAAACATTTTAATATGAATATAAATATTTTAATTCTAATAAATATTAAATTCTAATAAATTAATTTGAATGTCTTAATGATATCAAAATTTGGCGATCTTGGGATCGTTGGATTCGTCTCGTCGAGCCGCTTGATTAGACTAAAGTAAGAATTGTCACGTTTGTAAACCGTTTGAAAATCCAAATTATGGTTTGAACCATCCAAATGCGCTTTTGAGTATTTGATTTGGACTCCATTGGGCTCAAATTAATTCGAATTTGGTGTTGTTGTGTTCGTATTTTTTAGACGTTTAGTTCTACTATAAATTTGTTGAAATAGGAGTTCAAATGATCTCCAATTTAATTTTTTGATGATATATAAAAGTAAACAATTTAATAAGCATTTTATTTTAATTTATTTTTTAAAATATTAAAAAAATCTAATATTATGGAATTTTATTTTAATTTCATAAATTTATGAGAACAAGTAGAATACAACTATTAATATTTATTTTAAAAAATTTTAAATTTATTTTATATTCATTAAATTTTGTTTTTTTTTTTATTTACATTGTTTCAAATTAAAAACAATTTGCTTATTTAATAATAAAAAAATTAAATGTTGAAACAGGATGACCAGAGAGCCGTAGAATGGAATCAGGGCAAAATAAATTTATTAAGAAACCAGTTAACAAAGAACTGGTTTCTTTGAAAAGATTTTTTTTTAAAAAAAATTTAGAATGAATTTTCGGTTTCTATTGAAATCAGATAATGAAGTTTCAGTATCTGATTTATTTTTTTTCTCTAATGTATGCTTTCTGCAGAAGATTCTTGTTGAGAAGACTAAAGAGGAAGTTGAAGGTAAATATGAATTATGGAGGTCAATCTTAGAGTCTAAAGGATTTCGGTTGAATAGATCTAAAATCAAATATATAGAGTATAATTTTAGTAGTAATAGTTATAGTGGATGGTTTGTGACTTTAAGTGATCAAATCATTAATAACAGTACATATTTTAGATATTTTTGGTCTATTATTCAGAGTGATGATGAAATAGATGAGGATATTATTAGTAGAATTCAAATTAGATGGATAAAGTGGAGGAATGTATCCAGCTTCTTGTGTGATAGAAAAGCACCACTCAAACTTAAGCTAAAATGTTATAAGATAGTGATTAGATCTACAATGTTTTATGGTGCAAAATATCATCCATTAAAAGAGAAGCATAATATTAAGTGTTGCGGAGATGAGGATTTTCAGGTAGATGAGTGGCTTTACTCTTAGAGACATGATATGAAAATAGCATATACGTGAAAAGATTAGAGTAGCTCCAGTGGTAGATAAGATTAGATAGAATCGCCTAGGTTGGTATGACACATAAAACTACGGTCTGCTGATGACCTGGTTAGGAGAATAGTTATTTTAGATTTAACATATGTTAAAAAAAGGTAGAGGCAGACCTAAAAAGACTTGGTTAGAAGATATTAGAAAAATATATTTATATATTAGATCTAATGAGAATTTAACATTTAATCAAATACAATGAAGAAAAAAGATTAATATAACCAACCCCACGAAATAGGATAAAAGTTTGATATTGCTGTTATTGTTGTTATACTCCAATTGTAATTTTCTTCTTACTTTGTAATGACAAATAAAAAAATAAAATAAAATTTAAAAAATTAAAAAAAAAACTCTCCTATGAGTTTATTTTTTTATTCTAGTAGTAACCGTCACGTGAGAACAGGGAACCCGATAAGAGATTCCTATCCCCTGAAGTCAGATGGAATTTCTTAAAATATAAGGTCTTTGGTTTATTAGATACGCTGTCCTAATAATTTCTAAGACTTTCTTTTCTTAGTCAAACCCTCTTATCCTCTATCTTATCTTCCTGCGGGTCCCCCCGTATACTTCAGCAAAAAAGAAAAAAAAATCATTTTTATCATCAACTAAATTAATATTTAATTTTCTTAAATTTTTAATACGTTTTATGAAAATACTTCCCTTACAATCAGAAAAAACACTGTAAGATGAATTGATTTGCAAAGCTTCAATCGTGCTTCGGCTCTTTGAATGTTGCTGCAGAGTTGAGCTTTTAGACAACGGAAGTGATGACTTACTATCGATCACTGCTCTTCGCCTACTGCTTTCTCTCCTCTTTCATCTCCTTGGTCGTTCTAACCCACGGCGCAGGCTCCATTGTCTTCGACACTTACGGCCGCAGCCTCTACGGCTTCGACATCTTCGTCACCACCATAGACCCCTCCTCCTCCTCCCAAGCAGAGCTCCAGGTAACCGATGGCGTCTCCGTCAACTACAACGGTTACTTTCCCTCTTCCCCTTCTTCCCTTCTTTCCCTCCTCAACTATTCCTGCTCCTCTCAAGAAAATCACATCGACGCCCTCGTCTATGTCACAGAGCGCCGCGGCTATTCCACCATCTACCTCGACCTCTTCCCTTCCTTATCATCCCCATCCAATCGACGGGAAATCCTAGAACTGCCCCCTCGCCTCCATTTCCCCGTACTTTCTCTGCTCGATGGCCGTTCCTCTGTCTCCGTGAAGGACCGTCCTTCCCTCTCCGGCGATAGCCTCATCTTCGTCTCCACACACGAGCCCTCGCCCTATCCGAGGCAGAGCTGGGCTGCAGTGTACTCCACCCACCTTTCTACTGGCGCCACCACCCGCCTTACCCCCAATGGTATTGCCGATTTCAGCCCGGCCGTCTCCCCCTCTGGCCGTTGGACTGCGGTCGCCTCTTCCGGCGAGCGCGGGTGGTCAGGTGAGATCCAGGAACTCAACACTGACATCTACCTCTTTAAGACAAGCGATGGATCGGCACGGACTTTGGTGGTCGAGCATGGTGGATGGCCGTGTTGGGCGGATGAATTCACCCTCTACTTCCATCGAGAAAGCTCAGATCAATGGTGGAGCGTTTACAAAGCTTCAATTATGATTCAAGGAGACGCCCCTGTGTTGATTTCGATTGATAGGATAACTCCTCCTGGTTTCCATGCCTTCACTCCGGCGGTGAGTCCCGCTGCTCCTGAGCTTATAGCCGTGGCGACGAGGAGAGCCAGCTCCCAGTTCCGGCACATTGAGCTCATCGATCTTAGAGATGGGAGGAATGCATATGTTGAGGTCACTAGGCTCACTACCCCTACGGCTCATCATTTTAACCCCTTCTTCTCTCCTGAGGCGGGCAAGATTGGCTACCATAGATGCCGTGGCAGCCGAAACAGCGGCAACCCTCCATTGTTTCTGGAGAACATGAAGAGCATAGTACCGGATAAGTTTTCACTATTGAGGATTAATGGCGCTTTTCCTTCCTTTTCACCAGATGGTCGGAAAATTGCCTATGTGAGTCTCCCTGGCGTGTACGTAGTTAATGCTGATGGCTCAAACCCATTAGAGATTTACAGTGGCAATGCTTTTGGTACTGCTTGGGATTGGAAGAGAAATGGAGTCATCTACACCAGTCTTGGTCCTCAGTTCGCTCAAGAAAGCACTGAAGTTGACATCATTTCTATTACACTGAGTGAAGATGATGACAAATCAGAGCCTCCTCTTATCAAAAAACTAACTTCAGGAGGGAAGAACAACGCCTTTCCTTCTCCATCACCTGATGGCAAGTGGGTGGTGTTTCGTTCCGGCCGGTCAGGTTACAAGAATCTCTATATAATGGATTCTATTGAAGGAGAAAGCGCAGGAATTTACCGGCTCACAGAAGGACCTTGGAGTGACACCATGTGTAATTGGTCTCCTAACGGAGACTGGATTGCCTTTGCTTCTGATAGAGACAACCCTGGAAGTGGGAGCTTCTCTATCTACATGATTCACCCAAATGGAACTGGATTGAGAAAAGTTGTGCAAAGCGGGAATGGAGGGAGGACAAACCATCCATGGTTTAGCCCGGACTCTGCAAGCTTGGTGTTCACATCTGATTATGCTGGGGTCTCAGCAGAGCCTATCTCGAATCCTCACCATTTCCAACCTTATGGAGAAATTTTCACCGTGAAGATCGATGGTACTGAGATAAGGCGTCTCACACACGACTCTTATGAAGATGGCACTCCGACATGGACTTCATCCTTCTTGAAGCCGTCTGATGTTGCAGAATCTTTACAGGGTGTGGCTTTTTGCCGCTTTGATGACTGTCACTGGCTCAGCTTGCAGAATCAAATCAATGATGTCTTGAATGGAACTATTTGCCAAGTTATTTAGGGGAAATTATTAGGTACGGACAGTACTTTACTTAGAGTTGTGTCTGGATTACTAGATGCACCGCGTACGTTCTGCTTACACTCTGCGTATTTGTAGACATACAACAAATAAGCAGCAAATCCTCAAAACTAAATATTTGCTGCTTATTTACTGCAATACACAGTAAATATATAGAGCACAGGCATAACTTAAGCATAGGATATGCAGTATTGACGAATCTCTAGATTCGGTGTCTGCACCTAATAATTTCCTGTTATTTAGAGTATATTGTAGTATGCGAATAAGCACGAAGAAATCTGGTAGAGTTTTTGCGACTGTTGTATGCATACAGATCTGCTTGTTTAGTATAGATTTGTTACCTATGTAAAGAAGGACACAGTGGGCATCGCTTCTTATATGCTCTAATAGTATCAAATATTTAATGTTTAAATCATAAAATTTCAGGGGATTTCTCTTTTTATTTTTTTCTCGTTAGCTTACTGTGGACCTAATTTGTCAAGGTTGGGATGGTTCTGCATTCTTTTCATTGATTGTCTTTACTTTGATGTGCTACATAGGACCTTTCATTTAATTCCCAATTGTTGCCAAAAGTGAAACCACAAGCAAGAAATGGTCCAGTTTTAAGCCTGGATATTCTAATTGTCTACAGAGAACTGATAGTTGATGAAAATAAAAGGGGTTTACTGAGATCACGTATTATCAAAATTTATATAACCGACTCACTCACATAACAAGATAAAGACTTGTTATTATTGTACTATGAATTCAAGTACCAGACAATACTTATATATTGATCCAAGATATTTATTTAATTAGCTTTTGCTCAACACATCTTGAATTTTACCTGTAAAATTTCCATATAAAATTGGAAAATCAATGTTTTGATACAATTTTTATAAATTTTTCTGAGGTGTTGAAAAGAAATATCTTGGGCGATATATGACTGTTAACAAAATAAAAGGGTTGTAGCCTTAACAGTAGGCAGTACTCCACTCTTTTGTTACCCCTAACTTCAGTTTTACTAATACGCCGATAAATACATAAATCTTTATTTTCATTTAGGGTGTTAAGGTCACTATAGTCAATCTTATTTTTGCAATCTTTATTAAAAAGTTTTGCAAAATATCTCATCCACCTTTGTTGAATATCATCTTCTAAGAAAAGTATTTTTTTATCTTCATCTTTGTTGAATATCATCTTTTGTTACCCTAGTCATTCCTCTAAAACTACCCTGTTGAATTGAATGAAAAATATATTTGTTTTAATAGACCCCTATTTACACTATGAGAAGACGAATAGTAGGAATTCCCATCATCATTATCTTTTTCTTCTCCTCTAATCTTTATTCCATTAATTGGAGAGACTCATTATCCACTGACACCTCTGCTCCTCTCTCATTAAACATAGCTACTTATATTTCCCATAGACTAATTCTTGTTAAACATCAATACATCATTTCTCGGTGACGGCATCTCCTTAACTCGCAATGATATTGTTAGACTTCCATCACTAAAGTTATTGATGTAGAACAATCAAAATATTATTGCAACACAGCTCACATCCAATAATCATTCTATATAGTGATCACATGTTCTAATGCTTTTTCTCACTAGTTTCGAAGTTCATCTTGATGAATTTGATGTTTCACCTTCACAAATTATTTTGACTAAAGATAGTCTACCTCTTCCAAAATCCTCAATACCAAACTTCTATGTTAATAAACCAAAATCTTGCAACGGCTTTCTCCTATCTCCTTAACTATCTCTATACATCTTCTATGCTATGATTTTAATCTTAACAACAGTACAAAAAATCTGGTATGCCATTTAAAAATGATTGCAATCCTCAAATCATTATAACCTCCTTTAACTTAAGAATGTGTTCCAAACATCTCTATGAGAGATCAAAAAATGACCTAACAATTTTCTACAATAAAAGTCAAAGTAGATTTTCCTACCTTTATATTGGCTATACACGATGTTCAAGATATTAATCTCTAAACTCTTAACGGACTCTCTTCTGCTTATAATGCCTTCAAAATTGTACTCAAATCCAAGATTTCACTTATTAGCCTCAATGAATTTTACTCTTTGCATGTAGTGAAGAGACAAGTATAGCCATTGATGCTGCCAAGGAACTTTAGAATATTCAACTCATTGACCCACCTATGGCCTTGTTACCATCTATGGTCATGGACATGGCCAATTTTCATGAGCCAAAGCATCCTTGAGTTTCTATAAAAGAAGCTGTAATTTTCCCTCCATCACGTGACACTCCAAATCAATATGCTCATCTATGCAATGTGAAATTTGTAGCAAAGTAGGACATTCTACATTGAAATGTCGACATCACACCTATTTTAATTTTAAGAACTTATCGATAGGCTCTATTTGCTGAAAAAAATTACCAGCATCATGAATCTAACAATTACCCTTGAAAATGGTCAGATTATACCAATCTCCACTTTTCAATTGAGATATCTTGCACATTTCTATTATTTAGTTCATTAAATAATGATAGTTCTTTGGAGGAGTCATTGCATGGTTAAACTCTATTTACATTTTAGTGGTTAAATTAATAGATGCTTTTGGATTTAGATGCTCCTATGATTTTATTGATAAACATCTTTCTAGTTTCTATGATTTCCTTCCAAGCCTCGTGGTGGGGTCAAACAATACTGGATCATGAGCTTGTGGATTATGTCAACCGAATAAACTACGGTATCAACATCAAGAATTACTCCACTCTTCTATTATCTTAGCCATTCATTTGAAAATGCTCATATAATCCATCATCTATATTATGCCAATTGAATGCAAAATATTCTTCCATTAATAGCTCACAGTTTACAATATGAGAAGATGAATTTGATGAATTCCCTTCTACACCATCTTCTTCTTCTCCTCCTCAATTATTTACCGCTTTCTCTAGATTAAAAGTGTCCTAGCACTTAGTCATTTCCTTCATGGAACAAGGATTCTTCTAGTGTTATATAGATTCAATAAAATAGTTCGAGTATGCCATTTGAGGCCAATATAATAGACTATGTTAATAATAACAAACAAGAAGCAGAATCAGCTTGAAGAGACATGCTCCTACCTCGCTCTATTAGGGTTTTCTGGCTTTGCGGCGCTGGACGCTGTCGTGTTGGTGTACATCTAACGAAAGTTTTTTTCCTTTCATCGTTCATTATTTTTTACAGTTTTGCGATCTCTTTTCTTATTTTGTCCACCTCCGGCCCGCTACAGCCGGAATGGCGGTGAAATGCTTGAAGGATCCTAGTTTTTTGGATGCTTCACTGAAATCACGTTCATTTTTTTAGGCTTAATCTGGGAATAATTCCGATGCTTGTTTTCCGGAGTTAAAATTGAGTGTTTTTCAAGGTTTGCCCTCTCTTTGGATTTCAGAGGAGGAGATCCTCTCACTGGCATCGTGCCTTAAATTCGCTTTGGTATTTTTTTTCCCTCGCGGCGGCCTTCCCTCAACTCTATCATTAGGTTTTTTTTCAACTTGAAACTAAATGGTGATTTCTCAGTCAGGTTGTTGGATCAAACACATGTCTTGATTAAGCTGGTGAACAATTTAGATTATAGCAGGGTCTTCTGTTACCGATTTTATTTCATTAGCAATTGTTACATAAAGCTAACTAAATGGTCCCCATTTGTTGATATTGGTGTTGAGTCACTTGTGATCCCAATATGAATTTCTTTCTCAAACTTGAGGCTGTGCCTATTCTCCCCTCGTATACTTCATGGATTGGGAACTTTGTTTGGAAAACCTTTGAAGATTGACAATTCAACTTCTTTAGGTTCTCGTTCATCTATTACGTGCATGTTGGTCGAACTCGATATCATCAAAAATTATCCTGATAGAGTGTGGATTGGACCTGAAAATTTTTCCGGTATATTTAACCTGTAGAGATGGAAGTTTTTCCTTAATTATGTACTCATTGTAAATGTATTGGTCATTTGAGAGAAGCTTGTCCCCTGTCCCCTCTTGACTTCTCTCCATGAGAATGTTCCTCTTAATTCTAATTCTCAAAATATTATTGATGGGCAAGCCATTGCTATAAAGGCTAATCGATTTAATGTTGTTATTCATAATTCTACTCTTATTTTTCCTGTCAATAATTCAGAAGTGGAGGATGCAAATACTGTGAATGAGTTTCTGTTTGTTGCTCTTTTGGGGGGTAGTAGTGATCCGCTTGGTGCTGGTGGAGAGGATTGTGTGGTCTCTGATTATGATGGAACTGATTTGGTTCCCGTTGGGGGAGTTGAACCAGAGGCTATTATGGTGGTTGATCAGTCGATAGTGCTTATGAATTCTAATAATGCGGTCTAGGTAAGTGTTATGGAGGTTTTGGAAAATGATAATTATTTGCTTAATGTCAGTGCTAGTCCCATCTTATCTGATGTTGGAAATAAATGCGATTCTCTTTTGGATTTTGGTGGTAATGTTATTTCCTTTGGCCTTGTGGCTTGTAACTTTGTTGGTTCTATGGTTGCTATGGTTTCTGATGTGCCCATGGATTGTAATGAAAATGGGGGTTTGACTAGTAACTTGAAGGTGAAGGAGAAGGAGCCTTTTGTTGATGTACCAATTAAACTAATGTCTTCCAATGAATTAAAGGACAAATTATCTTCAAATGTTTTTGAAATAGCGTGGAACAATAAGCTCTTCCCCTCGTGGGGAAGCTGGAGAGGATCTGGATGAGTCGTTGGAGGAGTTTTATGACTTATATGGTTTAAATGTGAGTAGTAAAATTCATAAAAGCTTTTCTAATTGTGGAAGTAAGTGGCATAGGCAAAAATCAAGGAAGAGGTAATTTTCTTCTTATTTTGCGTGCTTTTGGCAAGATGGGTGATGAAGCTATTTATGCTTGGTTTAAGGGCTTTGGCACTTTGATGGACTCCTAGTGGCTTTGGTGGTGTGGTGGATGCATTGTTGACTTTGTTATGCTATGGTCATTTTTGTCTTTCTTAGCCTCTTCTTTAATTTTTTTTCAGGAACTCCTTTGTAGGCTATAAGACAGGTTGATGGTAGCTTTGGAGCTCTTGTTGCTTGTTTTTTTTAGATTTTGTTTTGTTTTTGTTTGTATGATTAGTTGTTTTTCAAGGCCCATATGTTTAGATTCAATTGTTGTATTTTCAGAGGGCTTTGATACCTTTAAGGACTTGTAACTCTATTTTTGTATCAACGTGTAGGTCCCTTTCATGGGGTTTATCCTAAAAAAAAGAAGAAGAAGATGAAGAAGCATAATCATGTCTATAAATTTAATCCAATACAATTTTCCCTATTGATACTTACACTACTTAATCATATATTTGTCTATTTACCCTTCTGGTTGAGGTTTTATCATTCATTTCACAAGATTTCCAGATTTATCTATGGTGATGGTTAGTGAACAAATTCTTATTATGGACATCCTCTATTATTTCGTAAAATAGC